TTCTGTCGGAGACGGCATCCGACACACCCAAACGCACACATCCGTTTCCGGTTCCACTCCTGCGGCTGTACCAGAGGCAGCGGCAGAGGCAGAGCCAGAGGCAAAAAAACAAAAACAAAGCCGTCAACGAAAACTCACTTAGTAGGCAGCCGCAGCCGCAGTCTCCTGCCATCTGGCAGGCAGACTCTCTCCTTTGCTCCTTGCTCCTTGCCCCTTTGCCCGTTTGCTCCTTGGTCCCGTCCAGACTCACTTGACATGCTCTTAATGCCAAATGAAAACATACGCTCAAGGACACCGAGGAAGCGCTCCGTTCCACTTTCCCGAGAACCGAGAACCGACAACCGCCCACCCTGCGCCCGGAGCTCCTCTCGTGTGTAAATTTTTAATGTTGCCAAGAACAAGCACAGTAGCCCTCAAATGTAGGTTATCAAATTGTGTTCAAGTTGCCGTTGCCAACCCCAGCACCAACCCCTCTCGCAGCGAACTTTTAGGCCCCAAAACGAGCCCCAACCCCTGTCCAAAGCCACCCGTCGAAGCAGGGGAGGAACATTTTAAATGATTTTGCGGCTGTTGTTGGCGTTGGTGTGGCTGCTGCTGCCGCTCTGACCCGACTGCCAATTGGGTCAAGCATTTACATTTCGCGCCTGATGCGAATACTAAAGGCATACTCTGCCTATGCCTCTGCCTCTGCCTCCGCCTCCCTGGAAAAGTATGCCCCATGTTGTACGTACACGCCCTTAAAAGTCTTAAGCTGCCTCTATTTGGTTAAATTAAAAACACAAATTTAACTCTGCTCTGCCTGATGCTGCCACTAATTAATTGCAAACTAAATGAGTTTCCCGGCAACAAAACTTTATCCGTACCGTACCGTGCCACAGCAAGAGGCTGATGGCTGCCTGTTGGCCGTTACCGCGGGAACGGGGGTCCAGGGGAAAGTGCAACAGAAGCCTTACGCATTGGTATAGGCAACTCCTCAGATAAGGAAGAATCTGGAACGCAAAAAGGAAAAGTTTCGTCCTCACATATTCCATTCCGTTGCATCAAAAAGTTTCCGGCTGCGAAAGGATCAAACTGTTGACTCGAACGAGTCATACAGGAAATTGCGAGTAATATGAGAAATAACAACGTGTGAAAGAGTCAAGAGAAAAATATGTATGCCACACTGTGCGAAACTCAAAAACAGTTAGATCTACATATGTACATATATTTGAAGGGCAGAAAGTAATTCTCACTGTAGTCGGGATTTGGCCCATGAGGCAGACAGTCGGAGATTGAGGGACAAATCAAGTTAGCTCCGTGAAAATGATTTGTTCAAGCCAATTGAGTGGTTCCACGTCAACTCCCGAATTGGCAGGAGAGAGCAGAGCCCAGTCCAGGCCAGACAGACCCCTCCGGGCCATCCATCCGTCAGTCAATCAGTCAGCCAGTGAGCCATTAAATTCTCGCTACTTAATGTTCGCCCGCAGCGCAAATCTGTTATTTTAACTTATTAATCTGCAATTGAATTGGCCCCCAACTGTTGATGTTGATGTCACTGTCGCTCTCAATGTCAATTACATTTCCACTGCCCCATTTTCCACTTGCCTCATATTTCGAACGAGAGTTCGTTGAGCTGCGGCAAGTGTAATCAAGTCTGGCCAAAATACTGCTCCTGCCTCAAAGCAGCACTGAAAAACGGATTAATTTGCATACATTTGCGATGCGACTCTCGTGCAAATTCCAAATGAATCTGACAGAACAAAGTTTATTCGACTTTGATGGATTTAGTAGTTGCATTTTCCTGTTGAGCTGTGTATTTTTGGGGCTAAAATTGGTACGTCTGGATACCTTGTATCACTAACTTAGCTATGCATGGAAAATCTTAAATAATAAAAGAATACTTCTTGCTTTGACTTTGGCCTGCTCACAGTTTTAATAAAATAATTGAGAGAAATCTATTTGGGAAAATGGTTTTAAAAAAGAAGGAAAAAGGGAAAACAGAAATATTTCTCCTAAGCTCTTTGTAGTTGAATATAATGTACAATAAACCCATTTGGACCTCTAAGAACTATAGTCCTCCGCCTGGGACATACTAGAACCCATTTTGAAGCTTACTTTGCAGCTCTTTGGTAAGAGCATACAGTACAGTACTGCCACAGGAGGGGGGATGTACAAAAAGCCCTAGAGTTTAATTGAATAAGAATGCAACTGCATAAGCCTCGTCACTGGCAGGCCACAAATCGAATAACCAAGCAGAAACAGGTCAAGTGCTCAAACTGAACTTGGAGTCGGGTCGGATCGGGTCGAGGAGACGCACAGATACAATATGCGGACAAGAGGGACAAGGAGGATACTCTGCAGAGCTCTGGTTGCCCAACAAGGTACTTTGAACTGTGATATGTGTGGGTACACTCGCAGTCAGACTCCAGCATCAGCTGGCAGTCGAGTGCACATAAGCGGGACAGCACCGGACCTGCCTTTGACGCTGACCACTCTGGCACTGAGGGTGGCTCTCAGGCGGAGGCTAATTTGCCAAGATCTCAAACAAATTACGACTGACGGCATGCCAGAGAAGTTTCTGCTAATGCAATGCAAGCTGCCGTCCAAGTTCGGACAACGAGAGTGGCTGCTTTATTTCCGAGCAGTTAAAAACATTTATGAGAAGATGGAAATCCTCTTTTCGATGGCCGAAATCTTAAATACCCTTCGAAAAGTGTCAATAATATAGTGCACCCCTATACTTCCATTTGGATTATTGCCATTATTCTGATGATTATTCATTCCGTGCATGGCTAACTTCCGGACTCCACCTAAAGGAGGGTATTAGAAACCCAAGTTCTGAATTGTTGAATAGTTGACAAGCGATTTTCTGCAACTATGTCGAACCCTGTCGAAGACAGACACAGACTCTAACTGCGTGTAAAAGTTTTCCCTCGACAGTGGACAAGTTTGAAGGCATGTGGCAGTGGCACAAAAAGCTTTTTTAGTTCAGTTTATTTCGAAAGTTTCTGCGCCCATTCAATTGGATGTCTCTGAGCTGCTCGCCATGTAGATGCTCGTCAGATTCTTGAGGAACTTCTCATGCCTGACCAGATCGCAGCGCTCGCCCACGTTGCTGATATGCTGGCTGAGCCTCTTCAGACGGGCGTCGAGTAGCTCCGTGCGCCTCTGCACATGCTCGTTCATGTCGCGTTTGATGCGGTCCTGGGTTTCCAGCAACCTGCTGGCGGTGTGCCGGCGGTGTCTATCGACGATGAGCGACACCCTGGCCAAGTGCATCGACAGCTTGTAGTTTTTTCGATCCTCCAGCAAGGAGCGACGCTCCGCTGCCAACTGCTGTTTCATCTCCAGTTGCTGGCGGGTGGGTTGGGTGCGTTTTCGGAGCAGGCAATCCGGCAGCTCTGCACTCACAGGTTCCTTGCAATGAATATAGAAGGCCACGTTATCGGGTCGTCGAAACTCCTCTGCATACAGATTGCCAAAATATTGATACATACTTAAAATTTTCCATAGATTACTTCAATGATTTGAAACTTAAATCCGAGTGGACCAGTCCCCAAAGCTTGCCAAGTCAGACAGATTTCTCCATGTAAGCCTATATAATCTGAAACATTTTTCCATCTGTCTAATGCTTATACATAGCACACTATATGAGTGTACATATGTACACCATAAATACTCCGATTAGGAAGCCACGGGACAGACCCAACCCAACCCTACCCTAAGCGGAACTCCACAGAACTTCATCCGTGTCCGTGTCCGTGGCTCGGATATATGTAACACAAAAGTTACTTGCTATTATTATGATTAAAGTTTCTGCTTGTGTGGCCCGCACCACATTAGTGTTACTTCCTTGCCTCTGCCGCAGGCCCCAAGCCCTAGACAACAGAACCCATATCCCTATATGTTTGTGGCGTCTCTGCCAAAGTGCTGGCTCAGGTGGAGGCTGCAGCTCTTGGCGGCTTAGGTCAGACATATCGCATGTGAGGCAGTCCACCATTTCTACCTTTTCACCCGCTAGAAGCCAGCCATTTACATCATGAATTTTTTGGGGATAAAGTGGAAAAAAATGAAATAAAAACAGGAAACCAAAACATGACCAAAACATATTTTGCTGTCCATCTCTTTGTTGCCATTGGTCTGAGCCTTAAAGCGGATTAAAATTGAAATTCTAGAGTGGGGTAGTGGAGGGGAGTGGGCAGCCAGCTTTCTAGAGCATTAAGCGTTGCCAATTGAGCTGCTGGATATGTATTAGTGGCACTTACCAATAAGCACTGGTGAACCCCAGTGCCTTCGTGTGAGGGTCATGTCATGACACAGGACTGTATGTATAATTAGTCCCATTTTGCATTCCGTTTCTTGTAGGATTCTCAACAGAGACCCAAGTTTTGAGTGCCCTCAGCCAGCCCTCTCCCCCTCTCTTTCTGTTCGTGCTCTGTGTGAACGATGTCAGTCTCCTCTTCTTCGCTGCTGGTCTTCTCTTTGACCCAAAAGGTTGAATGGGAAACTCAACTTTTACTGAGGCCGCAGTGCAGTTAAACTGGGTGTTGACATGCAATCCTCTGACAACAAAAAAATAGCCCAAATGGAAGTTTATGGCTAGCACTGGCCTACATACCAACCACTAAGCTTGCTCGCGGACAGGGACCGCAAAGCTTTCTGTTTTTATGGGCATCAATGGTGACACACGTGGAGCAGTCCACAGTCCACTCTGAACTCAAATTAGTTCCGATTCCCAGAGGACAAAAGAGTGGCAGAAGCAGAATAAAGTTGAATACTAACCTAACGTCACATTCCGTCACATACCCTCTACCAAGATTTTATTCATTTTATTCTGCTAATTAGATAAGTACATATATCCGATGGAATATGTCGCTAAATGTAGTTTGAAAACGAAGGACATTCAGAGATGTTGTTCCTCTCCAACGTTCCATAATAATTATAGAATACATAGATAAATATACATACGTATAGATCGGTCACAGGCGGTCACTAATAGTTCGCATTTTCTTTATTTGCAGGTCAAGGTCAAGAGCTGACAGAGGGCCCCCTTCATAATTGATAGCGAACTCGCTTAGAAACGTGATCCAGACCGAGTCTTAGGCAGCTTCGAGTACGTATTTTCCTGGTGCCCCTGTGTCCTGTGTTGTCTGTCCTGCCTAGTGCTAAGTCAGAATGTTTGAGCCTCGATTAGAGCCGATTTGTGGCAGTTGAAAGTCGTTTCCAGCGCGGCAATAAGAAAAGCACACACACACGCACACACACATATACACATACAACCACCCATCCAACCACACAGTGACACGATACTTTTTTTGCTGGTGTGAGTGTGTGTGTGTTTTTTTAATGTAGTGTGCGCGCGTACGTTCGCGTGTGTGTGTGTGTGTGAGTAGGTTTTTTCCGTGTTTCTGAAGAATGCAAATAAACGGTGTCGCTGCCGGACCCACGATGGCCGCATCAGAGCCACCAGAGCCACCGCCGCGCAATCCGGATCGCATAAATGCCTCACTGCACAAGCTCAGCGAATCCGTAAGTACCACAAGCAACCCCGCAATCCATAGCCACCCCCTTCGGACCGCCATACTCCTCCTCCTCCACTCAAATCCCGCAATGTAGGCAAAATTATAAAAAATATAAAAACGGAACCTAATTGGACTCATTCAATGCTCGTTAGAAAGGAGGGTGGGGCCACTACCGAGGAGGGGGCTCTCCAATTGCATGCCTCAGCATCCACTTCCACTCTCCCTACTTGGCACACTACTTCATCTTCCTTTTGTAGAACAAATTCCCCACATCTGCATCTCCCACCCATTGACTAATTGACAACTTCTGGGCTCTCGCTGTCGCTATCTCTCTGCTTTTGCTCTTTCTCTCTTATCTGCTATTTACCTTTGGCCGGATTCATTGAATCTAAAGTGGATGTTATAAAATCTTTTCAATTTCCTTTGCAGAAAATTGTTAAATCACTGGACTCGAGTCTGATCAAGGAGAAGTCCGTCTCCGTTAACAACAATAAGCCTATACGGCCGCTGCTCTCTCTGGATAACTCTGTAACGGCCTCCACATCAGCGGCAGCCGCAGCGACAGCAGCAGGAGCAGCAGCAGCTGGAGCTGGAGCTGGAACAGTGGGCGGAGCCCCTGTCAAGCCATCGCCCCTGGTACTTACCAGCAAGCGAGACCTCACGCCCAGCAACGACAGCAGCTCCTCGCCGGCCAGCTCGAATGGCAGCAATCAGACACTTACGCCACCCATGACCAACGACAACCAGCAGCAGCAGCAGCAGCAGCAGCAGCATCGACCACCATCATATCCTGGGAAGAGCGAGGTCGTCGGTCTGCCACAGCCACAATTGCCGAATGGCCTCGGAGGCACGGCCAATGCGAACTCTATCCCCGGCCCAGCCATGATCCATGCGAATAACTCAAATTTAATTGCCGCTGGTCACCTGGCACAGGGAGTTGCCGTCTCCTCCAGCTCCACTTCGACGTCCGCCGCCAACAGCTCCTCCGGCGGCAGTGCACTAAATGCGGGTAAGTGTGGGTGTGTGCGTACAAGTGAGTGTGAGTGTGAGTGGTCGAATGGAAAGGCGAAAGGGAATGGGAACGGACATGGACATGGACACGGGAAGATGCATGCAAATGCATTTGTAATGGGCAGAAGCGGGGGAGCAATCAGCAGATTGCTGCGGGCGGAAGACCAATGGGGAGAAAGCAGGGAATGGTTAAATCAGCAAATTCCAGAAGGATGGCAACGGTGTTCAAAGTGAAATTAAATCAACGTTCGCTGATTGAATCCTTTCCACATACATGTCGACAGATACCATAGATACGTATTGTTCAATAAAAGCTACTAAAAATGTTGGATATGAAACTTATTATTGTTTTAAATTGCTGAATGATTCATATGGTTGCAGCATGTATTTTCTAATTAAAGCCAAGTTAGTGGCGCAATCTGTGGGTAAAGATTTGTGACCAGAGAGCAAACCCGCAAATACTCGTATATACATTTATCCTCTTTCTTTTGAATTGCAGAAATAATCTCTGAAAAGCTGATAGATACATTTTCTAGTTAATTTCTAAAATTCAACAAATTCAAGTTGAGTTTGGGAAAATTGACAAAATGTTTGTCTTTTTAATAAAGTTGTAACAAAATATCGTGCGAGCATCTTGTCTGGTCTTGTCCGGAAGCCAAGAGGCAAACACTCTGACCGCACACAAATTTAATGTTGTCCGGGGCAAAATGCATGTTGAAAGAGGCAAGTAGATGATAAAGGCCACACCGAGTCAAGCGGACCTCAGTGGGGAAGAACTACAACGACAGATATTGGGTAAACCACAGACACAACATCAACGAAGGGCGGGAAAGAAGTCATGAAGAGGGTGGAAAGTGGGGGCGGTCTGCGGGATGTGCAGAATGTCCTCGTACATAAGTGAAGTGTAGTTTTTTTTGCTTTGTGCTGTACTGAGATTGGGGCCAGGGCCAGGGCCAGCCCAACGCATCGGATCAGATTAGAATGCCAAAGTGATGAACACTTCAAAAATCGGACAAATGGATGGTAATGGCCTGCCCTGCTCTCTCATTCTCTCTGGCCAGCACTTTGAGTTGCGGAGTTCAAAAGCCAACGAAGCGCATAGTCAGGGTTACCCTTACCCCACAGGAGGTATACAAGTTTGAGGGGGAGTGGATCCTAGAGTGGATGCGGTCGAGCTAAGTTGAAAACTTAAATATACGAAACTAAGCAGAGGATTTACCCATCTGTGGATAGAGTGGCGGCAGTGGAATGTACTATATGTACATAAATGGATTTTTAATAGGGGGAAAATCTGAGTCCTTCAATTAGAGAATTACGGAATAATGTTTAACGTTGTTTATTTTGCAATCCAAACAATTCAATTTGATTATTAACATGTATACTAAATATATACTCGTTTTTTGCCATTTAATTATGATTTAATGCCGCGCATTAAGAGCTTATTAAATGTTCATTCAAGTCCTTAGCCAAGCGATAAATCCAAATATATTTTTACTAATTTCAACATGGAGAAATAGGCGAAAGGAAAACATTCTCATTAATTTGTTGACATGATTGTGCGTGAGTTGGGGGAATGAATGAATCGCCATCGCCGGTCGGTGGCAGGAGCGAGTGTGCAATCAATTTAGACCCATCATCAGCTATTCACATGGGTGAGTTTTGCTCGGGGAGTGAGTGCTATGGGGAATAGGTAATCAAATTGTTCATCCCGTAAATGTATTATTATGAATACATTATAATTGAAATTACTCGTTTGCCCGTGTTCGTTTGCATCTAGATAAATGTGCCGAAAATCGATATTTATTTATTTTGCCCCGCACAGCAGTTCTAATTGTTGTTTGTTTACTTTTCAATCCTACTACATACTACTATTTGTCCGGTTTGGTATTTGAGGTCTCTCTCTTCCATTGTTTGTTGCAATCTAATTTCGTGTCCTGCACTTTCCCAACCACCCCCGAACTGTCCTGTCCGCCTGCCCAATTTGAATCAGCGTGTCCTCATGCTCATGCTCAATCTCATCCTCGTCGTCATCACTATCATTTCTTGCTATTGTTCTTGTTCTTCGTATTGTTGTTGTCGTTGTTCTTGTTGTTGTTGTTTGCGGTTTCTGTTGTTTGGTTTTATTTGGACTGTACGTATTGGATCAACCTGAATCAAGTTGCCCCATCCCACATCCTACCCAATCATCCCACCCATCGAAATATCTCCATCTATATCTACATATATGTATCTGAACAATGCCATATCCAGTCGACAAGCGGAATGCCAATGATGTTTGCCCAATTGTGAAATTAATGGAACCGGAGTCAATGGCAACCGCAAGAGCAGCTCCAGCTTCAGCTCCATCTCCAGCCGCAGTATCCGCCAATATGAATCCATCATTATCTGGCTTCCTGACTCTGGGGCCACCGCATTCTCCGACATCCGCTGCCTCGGCAGCCCTCCTCATGCTCGAGTCCTGCGATGGCAATCGCAACGAAGAGACAAAGGTCCGACTCCGAGGTGCCTCTGGCTGGGGCTCAGACTCTGGTCCAGGTTCAGGTAAGTTGCACAATCAATTTTCAGCTTTTCTCTGCTCTGTTCTGCTCGGTTCTTTTCACTTTCATCCCAATTTCCGCTCTGTATTTTTAATTGAAGCAGCAGCAGCATCATCATCATCATCATCACAATTAGCCCGCATGCCGAAATCCATTCAATCCTCTTACTGCACCCTCACCTCTGCACCCACCGTCCCGTTCCCTGTGGGGAAAGTAGTTGCACTTGATCCTCATTCAACCCGCCTGTCGATTCGTTGCCTTGGCCTGCTTTAGTTATAATTACACGGACTTTAGTTTGTTCGCAGAACTTTCCATTCAATGCATCCACACTTTTGCGCACGGCTCTGTTCTGCTGGTGCTGGAGCTGCCCACTTTGTGGCCAGTAGCTTTAGCTGTACAGGATTGGGTATGCCAATGTAGTTCTTAGCTTGTTTTCTTTGGTTTCCTTTTGCGTTTTTTGCTTGCGTGCGAGTTCTTTGGGCAAGAAGAGAGCGTGGTTTGATGAGCGGGCGCGGGGAACGTAACTAATTGTGGGCTGGCTTCAGCTAGCGGTAGTGCCTTTGAGTAGAATATCGATCAGCAGGGGTGCAAAGCACTTCGACATTGGCTCGTTTTGCATAGATTTGCATCCCTGTTACGTACATATATGAACACCGCTTGTCCGCAGCTTCTGGTAGCTGTAGAAAAACGAAAGCCAAAACCAACAGGGAACTCCGCTTAAATATTTACGCAATATTTCACAGAATCCGGCATGAAGCTGCGAGAGGAGAACGATCGTCTCAGTGCGGAGCTGGTTCGCTTGCGTCGACTGCTCGAGCTGTCCACAGACGGGGCCGTCGGCGGCGTGGATCCCACAGAGGCAGATGCTCGGGGCAATAATGGAACAGCCGCACAGGATCGCATTGAACGCCTGGAGTCGGAGCTGCGTACGGTCAAGAATCAGCTGCTGACCATGCGGCTGGAGCGGAAGAAACTGCGAACTGACAAATCCGATCTGCTGGGACAGGTGAAACAGCTGTGCGCCTCGCTGCAGGAGAAGGAACAGGAGCTGCGCGACTTTATCCGCAACTTCCAGGAGCGGGTGCGGGAGTCGGAGACTACAAATGCCAAGATCTCGGGCGATCGAGATCGGGAGCGCTTCCAGCTGCTCAAGCAGGCCCGGGATGAGGCCGAGCGCTCACTAGCCCTGGCCCAGCAGCTCTCGGCTCGTGACCTGCAGCTGCAGCGACTTCAGGAGCAGCTCCAGGAGGCGCGTCGCCAACTCACAGGCTGCCTCTCCGACCAGGAGAGTCTCCACTCGTTTGCCCCACTGACTCCGCCCTCAGCGGCCTCTGGCATGCTCAGCCAGATGGCATCCGGCTCTGGCATGGGTGGAGTACTGGGCGGCCTTCGCGGCACAGCCGACGACAGTGGCCGCGGCAACTCCCTGTCGGCATTCAGTGGCAGCCTGAGCGGCGGATCCGGGGCAACAGCAGGCGATCGAAACTCGTGCTCGAATGACTCGGGTCTGCGGAACAGCAGCGACCGGGAAAGCACTGGCGGAGAGTTGAACTTCAGCGATGGCACCTGCGACAATGGACCGTGCATCACCGTGGATCCCGACAGCATTTCTCTCGTCTCCAGCCAGAACATGTATCAATGTGAGTGGGAGTCATACCATATGTGAAGTCTGAGTTTATATGTGTTTTTGTTTCGCTTTCAGTTGGAACGCCCAAAGAACGAAGCCCCACATTGTCGCCCTTGAACTCGGCTGCCTACTCCAGGTACATATTTCCTGGGCAGAATCTCATATCGAGTAGAAACTAATCGAATCGCATTTATCCAACCAACACGAACAGATCCGTGGAGCAGCTGGGCTCGCCGGTGGACCCCGATGGCCCAGGAGGGGCTGGAGCCATAACCCGGAAATTTGCCTGTGCCACAAAGAGTGGACCGTTGGGAGCACGCAACGGTCGTGGGGGAACCTGGGGCAGCATATCGCGTGTGTTTGCTCGATCCCGCAACAAGAACAAGGCCCTGTCCGCCGATGGAGTGACTGAATGTGAGTCGTTCAGTCGTCCTGCATTGAGGGAGCGGCTATATTAATGATTTATGAAAAATTCTCATTCAGACACCGACTACTCGTGGAATCCGCTTTCTGAGGAGGGATATGCCGACAAGATACGGCTGCTGCGCGAGGCTTCTCAGTTGCCCATGGAGCGCTGGCGGGCCACCCAGGTGCTGGCCTGGTTGGAGGTGGCCCTGGGCATGCCCCAATATAGTGGCCGCTGTGCGGAGAACGTAAAGAGCGGGAAGGTTTTGCTGGAGCTGAACGACATCGAGCTTGAGGCCGGTCTTGGCCTGGCCCATCCCATGCATCGCAAGAAGCTGCGTCTGGCCATCGAGGAGCAGCGACGACCGGAACTAGTACGGTATCCACTCATCACCCAACTGGGCCACACCTGGGTGGCCTCCGAATGGCTGCCGGACATTGGATTGCCGCAGTACGCGGAGCCGTTCCTGCAGTCCCTCGTCGATGCTCGCATGCTGGACACGCTGTCCAAGAAGGAGCTGGAGAAATTTCTGGGCGTGACCCGCAAGTTCCATCAGGCCAGCATTGTGCATGGTACGCAATATAAGACCAGACTGAACCTTGAACCCACTTTTAATCTGTTGCCTTCCCCTGTTTGTCAGGCATTCACGTGTTGCGCATCGTGAAGTACGACCGCCAGACGCTGGCCATGAGGCGCGTGCAATCCGAGACGGTGGACACGGACCCCATTGTTTGGACAAATCAGCGCTTCATACGCTGGGTTCGATCCATCGACCTGGGCGAGTACGCCGATAACCTGAAGGGTGAGTGTATTGATTGCCTGTCGATTGTTATGCCATTCATTTAACCAATTATGGCTCCATCCCCCGGCAGATAGCGGCGTTCATGGCGGACTCGTCGTGCTGGAGCCATCCTTCTCGGGCGATACTATGGCCACGGCTCTGGGCATTCCCCCATCCAAGAACATAATACGACGACATCTGAACACGGAATTCGATGCCCTCATTTTGCCAGCAAGGTGAGTTCGGACCGCCCCCCATTCAGTCATTTAAAATGTGTGTGTTTGTGTGTGTGTGCGATGTGTATCTGTGTGCGCGTGTGGGTCCTTTGTGTAATCCTTCGGTCTTGACAAGTGAAAGTGATCCATCCATAAGTAGTAGCGTTATACTTACAGCAATTTGATTAGAGTATTCTCTGCTTTGATTGAGTTTTGTTTTGTGCCGTTTTATATTACCAAAACCAACCCCCACCCCCACCCACACCCCCGCTCACTCTAATATAAGAGAGTTTGCATAACCTTCCAGCTAAAGTTCCAGTTTTTGTTATGGTTTATTTCGTTCCGTGAGTTTGTGTGTTTTGTTACGCAATCATTTTTGCACTTTACTTATCATAAATATCTTGCCATATCATATCATATCATATCATACCATATCATACCATATCAGTAATATGTAAAGCGCCATACCACGAAATCTGTGTTTTCTTTGATGAGCCTAAGTCATCATCAATATCATTATCATTATCATTATCAAACATATTCACTCACATTCACTCATTTCCATCTGGCTATTCCGTTAAATGCTTCGATAATCGGTTTATAGCTGCTTCTTATGTGCTAATCATCCACGTCCATGTTCTTCCACATCTTCTGAAGAAATATCGATGTCTTCCACATCTCATGCGATTTCTCATATCTGTCATATCTATCTGTCTCTCGTGCATAATTATCTTATAGTCCATAGTCTGTATCTGAAAAATAGTTGTACTTTGTTTCATTGTTGATCATGTAAACGTGTCTTAGACAACCAATTTTTAAAACAAAGAAAAAAATATATTGTATGTCCCAACAAGCGAATCGCACTAATGGCGGCCCTTCTGTGGCCATAATTCTCTCTCTTTTCTTTTCCCATCAATATGTCGTTCAACGTATATACATATATGTACATATGTATGTATACGCATTTCTTATATCCGCAATGCAGATACTTAATTTACTGTCAAATGGAAGAGTTTCAAATGGAAAGCTCCCGTCAATTGGCCAAATTGCAGGGCCATTAAAACCCCACGCGAAACAACAGAATGATACAAAATTATTACATAAAAAATCAAATGGGATTCAAAATTGAACTGTTTAGCCAAGCTGATGATGGTGGTTATAATGATAATAGCTATAGGGAGAGAACAATAATTGGAGCACAGCGCTAACCATATCGTCATTACGTATAGATAGTTGATAGACTCACAGATGGAAGAGATATTCACACTCCGATTAGTACTACATATTAGTATCCGTATCCGTATCGTATAGTATTCATAGTTTAGTAAGTGCTTCGCTTTGCGCACATTCGATATTGGATATTAACACTTACAGTACTCCCACGGAGGAGGAGCTTAAGGATGCATTTGTTTAGGATTATTTGCCAAGTCGACTCAAGCATTTAATGTCCACGATACAAGTAGTAGAAATACATACTTCACATATAGTAGGTAGGGTTAAGGCTTTGCTTCAGTGTTCAGCATAATTAAGGATTTAAGGACACACTCATTTCGACACGATCTACCCTTTCACCTTCGCCACTAGCCTGGACAGAGTTGTTGTCCACTGTGATACAGCATCGAAGATGTTGGTCAACGCACAAATTTGTACTTTCGAGACCAAACCACATACATACACATATACATTAAACACATACACATACAAGAATTTCGTGGCTAAAACTGTAGTAGTCAAACTGTGTTGGTGTGTTGCATATTTTGGTGCGTTTTAGCGAGTTTGTACTGCGGTACTGCAAAAAATATCAGAGCTCAGAGAATAGATTATTTGGTTGGATCGCAGCGACCGCAGTCCGAGTCTCAAATAAGTTAATTTTATTTAAGAAGTCTTCATTTCGGTTGCGCTATTTCGAAGTACATACATACAATGTCAATTGTAAGTAAAAATTGCTTACTAAGTAGCTCTCTCTCTCACACACACATACCCAATCCAACACCCACACACATACGGAAACGGCAACATACTCAAAACAGCAAACTCGAAACCAATCTTATGTATGTGTTATCAATGTTTTACGTAGCTTGAACTAGTCTAATCGTTGTCATCTTAATACAAGTACTACATACTACTACTCGTACAATACATACTCCACTCCACTCCACTCCACTCAAAGTGCGATTGGAACTAAGTAAGGCTTTAAAAGACAAACAAAAACCCACTCAACATCGTAACTTGGCTGCTGTCTTGGTTTGACTGGTTTGGTGTCTCTCTTGATTTCTGTTTGCCATTTTGCCATTTGGACTTTCTTTTCGGGGGCTCTTTCTGTCACCAATAGATCTTTCTCTATTGTTTGTTGTTTCCTGTTATTTGCGCTATAAGAAGTTATTTCTGCTGAAAAATTTAAACGAAATACGAATACAGCAACAAACAAATACATCTATGTATCTCTCAATATTGATTAACCGATTCTTGTCTTTGTACCGTTTCTTTTTTCATCTTTCCTATACTTTTATCCATCTCCTGCTTTTCCTCCGTAACTTTCCAACTTCCATTTCGCAACTGTAATCGAATCAACGGCTTGTTGTTGTTGATGTCTCTGCTTGATTGTATAACACAATTACTACCACAATAACACGACAACAACAACAACTACATACTACATACTACAACCAACCAACCACCTCTCTCTCTCTCTATATGCGTGTGTGTGTGTGCCTGCCTGCCTGCCCGCCTGCCTCTGTATCTCTATTTCACTGTATCTGTGTATCTCCGTATCTGTATCTGTGCCTGCCCGCCCGCCCGTACTCTCCTGCGTTCCGTTCTCTGCTGTCTGTGTACTATCTCCATTGTGCCGCCTGCCTGCCTATAACGAAAACATTGCACAAATCCAATCAACACCCACACATATCCAAACACCCACACACACATATACATGCATATATACGAACCTATGCAAAAATCGGATATCGACATTGCCATGTTTGTTGTGTAGAGCGACTCTGGGTCAAGGCATCCGTTCAGGTTGCGGCGTAGTGCCCCTGACTGGACCCGGCGGACTGCAGCACTATGCCACAACAGACCGCCGCTCGAGCGGCAGCCTCAGGGTAAGTCCTCCACATAAGTCACTCTACTAGTATAAGCTTAGCCATAACTGATATTCTATTGACATCTATCCCGTATTGAAGCCTGACTTGACGTGAAGCTTTTGTTGTCTCTCTGTGTCTACTACTAGTCTCCTATAATATTCCACCCACTAGAGGTGCCACTCAGATCTTTCACACCACAATACGTATATACTCCATATCAATGATTGTTTTCTTACATATAGTATGTACATACATACGTGTACGTAGTCCCAGCTAACACCCGACGACAGATAAGTATGACCTAAGTTAAGGATATCCCTCTTATCGATTACTCCCATGATATAAGCATGTTCATGTTGTTTCAAATAATTCAGCTAACCATCAAGACAATCTACAGACACAACAATAAATACACTTCAATAATATCGGATACAATTTCAGCATACATTTGTAAATTCGAACAAAACAATTCAAAATTTAGACATCCTGCAACAACAAAAGTTTCACGACATTTCCAAATGATTCTGTAATATTTTTCTCTTCAATCAATTTGAATATCCAGACGGGAGAAGTATATATTCGTACTGTACCTTATTAATCTGAACCCAAAATTTGTCTCTCTTTCATTTCTGATTACCCACAGATTTCGGCATGGAAAGGATCTCAGGTGAGCTCTGATCACACACCTTTATCTTACAATATTCTAATCTTTGCTACTTCTCTTGCAGAGCTCTCTTTCCAAAGCCTTTCGGTTCAATACTAAACCCCATCGCGCCGGCGATCGCAGCTCCTTCGGCAACTCCACCTCCCCAACGCCTTCGTACAGCAGCAGCGAGGGCGGTGGAGGAATATACGCTACCATAGGCTCGCTCCATCATCAGCAACAGCATCATCATCAGCAGCAGCAGCAGCAACAGCAGCACTATCATCACTTTCTGCCGCCTCCAACCACAGCTCCACCGCCGATTCCCATGGCAGGTGGCAGCAGCAGTAACTACAGTCATGGTCCGCCGCCGGGCCACCGCGTGAGTGCGCCGCCCACTGGCAGCGTGCTGGATGGGAGCGGAGTGGATGCACAGCTACTCTACGAGCAGAGTCGACGACGCGTGAAAAGCATCAGTGACATCGGAGCGTCGACCAGTGCGGGCAGTGTGGGAGCGTGTAGTCTGGGCGGCATATCAGGTTCCTCGGAGTCGCCCGAATGAGAATGGGAGCCGTATCAGAGCTAGCTAGACAGCAACAACCAAAGATACTCAGCTGTATTCCCATTCCCTTAATAGTCCCTTCTTACCTGTTCATCCCCAATTTATGTAGTGTCCCTTTCCTTTCTGGATTCGAGCTTAGATTCCAAAGAAAACCAAAAACGCGAATTCTATTGTATTAAAGTCAAGTGTCAGACCCACCTTAAGGATACAAGCATACAAGAATCAACAATTAAAGATACATATATACCTATGTCAAGATACAAATAAACGAGTAAGCATTTGATCAAATCAGCTAGAGCTACGAACTAAGAGTATATGCTAAATATGATTCCATATACATACATATACTCACTAGAGATAATGTAGGCTAAGATCAATCCCTCTCGAAAGCGAATCCACGCCAACACGCCCCACTAAACAACCCAAATAAACTTGGATAGTTTAATTATAATTATTCGTGTATAACTCTAATCTAATGGTAATTGTAACTGTAAAGCTAGCTTTAAATTGATCTACAAATGTAATCCTGCGCTGGAGCACTGCCACACCTTCAACTTGCGGAGTGTTCTGGCGACTGGAAATGAGCAGCCACAGAAGCGGACTCGTATTTGATGCATGCGATGGATGTAATTACAATTTAGATAAATTGAAATTATTTTGTAACCGAACCTATCGTAGCTAAGCAAATGAAAATGGAAACTATTGAAATAAATTTGATAAACTGCAAAATAGAAAACTGATACTGAGGAATAAGTATCCTTTAATATTGCATGATAATGATCAAAAACAAGTAAAGTACAGAAACAAAATCAAATGCAATGCAAACGCACTCCACTCCCCATACCCTCGCACCACCAAAGAAAGTAATGTCAGCCTGCTACACAGCCCAAGCTATCAGATATCGAAATATCCCAGAAAGAGAACGGTATTAATAAGCAGACCAATTTAACTCTAGTACTATGACAAAGAAACTATCGAATAAACCAATGATCAAAACTCTGTTGTAAATGGATCTGTTTTTTTTTCGACTTGCATTGCATTCTTTATTGTGTAGAGGAAGTCCGGCACGCTACACGAGCAGAACCTCAACAAATTGCATTTGCTCAACTCCAAAACATTTGACCTTCACCAAAAGTTGATGTGCTCTCTGTATCTTCTGTATTTCGGTGCATCTCCTGGTATGGTAATGGGAATCCTTCCGAAGCTCCTCCTGATCGGGTTGCTAGCGTCGATCGTTGTCGTTATCGTTTCGCGGTCGTCGTGTGGTATGCGGACGACCCTTTGGCTCGGGAGCTGGAACTGGCTCCGCGGCAGTCAGCGTGCCCAGGCTCCCAATCAAAGCCAAGACGCCAAACACAAGGAACAAACTAAACCACTTCATCTTGACTATGCTCTATCCTCCACTCTTAGTTGCAAACTGCTAACTGTCCGGCTGTGGATCAGGCGTTTTATGGAATGGCGGTGATGGCCGCCGAATGTTAATGAAGGGAACAGCCGTCAACATCGTTTACTTTTGCCTGTTGTTTATGTTCGCAGATCATGCGAGATATCCATCCAAATTGAGTTGTAAATCTAGCGCTGAAAGCGGGCGGACACCCGTTTAGGTAATTGGCTTCACTTACAACAGCATCGAACAATTGGCGATGTCACTTTTCCCATTCCAAGCTAATTTCAATCAGATCTCTGTGTGGGATTTCTAGCAATTCAAAAGCTAACTAATTATAGTGGAAAACAATTTTTTATGATAAAAGGTTGGCGTTTCATAACGTTATCAAATCATGTTTGGTAAGGATCGATACTTCCTTCCAGCTTTTATATACAATATGTGATCTTCTAGGGACGAAGTTGTTTACAAATAAAAAAAAAAAATGTGAGTCGATGGCAAACCATTGCCTTGTTTCAGATTGCTACAGTGAGGGGCCATAGAAGACCAACATAGGTTCGGTATAAATCGATTTGTTGATAAATTAACAAAAAAAAAAAACGCGTAATATTTAACAAATGAATACAATTTACAAATAGTTGCGCGGTAACGAAAATTTAAACTTCAAAGAACGCGGTATAAAGAACGATGTATACAAAAACCTATAATGGACTGAAATGGACTACAAATGCTCCGGGCATTTATCGAAAATGCCCCAGCGAAGGTCATTTTTCTGGTAAATGATCTGGTAAGCTTATAAAAAATATCACAATCATCGACATCTGGGATATCTTTTAAAACATCCATTGATCTCCATGGGCTTGCGGACTCAAACTCAACTTTTGTTGGAAAAGTTGGTCCAGCTCGTTCATTTCCCTCTCGCGCCGCAGCTCCTCGGCGACTTGCACCCACATGTTCTCAAAACCATTGTCAAAACTCGCCATCGAGACATCGGCTTCAAAGGCGCTGTCGTCCAGAACAAAAGAGTATTCGCGTTGGTAGTCGCACATTTTGTTTGGTTTTAAATCTGCAAAAGAAGAAAAAACGGTTAAGTATCGATCGCACAATAATCAAGCTATCGATATGCGTCCACTATCGATAGGCTCTTATCAGGGCTCAGCTGATCGTATTTTTGTAAACATTTTATGGTTCGTTAAAATTCTATTCGATCTGTGATTACTTTTCAGCTGTACCTCTTCCATTTTACAATATTCGCGCTGGTCTTCGAAAATTCTGCCAATTCTTAAAATACAGAACTGAGCCTGAGATGTCGCGTAAAAATGTCCTCAACTTGATCAATACTATCGTGGCCAATTCGTAAGCTGAATAGTATCCTTGACTAATTGCTGAAATAAAACCTTTATTCCGCATAAGCTGCAAGTGCCCCGCCCACTCACATAACTATGGATCAGCAGCGCCCACTGGGGTCCAGACGGGACAGAAGGAATACGCCTTCGAGGCAAGTCTCCGCTTTGGACTTTGGCCTTTACGCAGATAGGAGATAAGCTCTCGTTCTGCCTATAGTTTATAGATGTATCAGCCGACAGCCAAAGTCCAAGGAAAATAATAATTATAATAATAATAATCGTCTATGTTTGGTAGATGTCTGCCTCGACGGTGCGCTTTGGACCCGGTGTGAGTGTTGAGGTTGGTGCAGATTTGCGAAATTTGGGGGCCAAGAAGGTCTGTCTGGTCACGGATAGGAATGTGGCGAAGCTGCCTTCAGTCAAGGTGGCCTTGGACTCCCTCGCCCGTCATGGCATTAACTACGAGGTGTACGACGAGACTCGCGTGGAACCAACCGATGCCAGCCTGTGGCATGCCGCGGATTATGCGCGACAGAACGAGTTCGATGCATTTCTGGCCATTGGCGGCGGCTCCGTCATGGACACGGCCAAGGCAGCCAATCTGTTCAGCAGTGATCGGGAAGCAGAGTTTCTGGACTATGTCAATTGTCCGATTGGCAAGGGAAAGGAGGTGATGTCTGATAGGTTGAATGACGTATTGAATATTGAATGTCTAAGATCCCTGTTTCCCCTTTAGATATCGGTGAAGTTGAAGCCTTTGATTGCCATGCCTACAACCTCGGGTACTGGTTCCGAAACCACTGGAGTGGCCATCTTCGACTATAAGCGGTTGCATGCCAAGACTGGAATCTCCAGCAAATACCTCAAGCCGACTCTGGGTAACGATTGAACCAAGTCGCCAATTCTCAAGCTGCTCACGCATTTTGTGCCCTTAGCTATCATCGATCCCCTGCACACCCTGTCGCAGCCCGAGCGGGTAATGGCGTTTGCCGGCTTCGATGTATTCTGCCATGCCTTGGAGAGCTTCACCGCAGTGGATTATCGCGAGCGGGGACCAGCGCCGAGCGATCCCAGTCTGCGACCTACCTATCAGGGGAGGAATCCCATCTCTGACGTTTGGGCACGGTTTGCCCTCGAGACGATACGCAAGAACTTCATAAATGCCATATACGAGCCGGGGAATTTGGAGGCTCGCTCCCAGATGCACCTGGCATCGACAATGGCCGGCGTGGGCTTTGGGAACGCTGGAGTGCATCTCTGTCACGGACTCTCCTACCCCATTTCGGGCAATGTCAGGAACTACAAGCCCGCCGGCTACACGGCCGATCATGCCCTCATACCGCACGGGCTCTCCGTTGTGATAAGTGCCCCGGCTGTCTTTGAGTTCACTGCGCCCGCTTGCCCTGATCGCCATCTGGAGGCTGCAAAACTTCTTGGCGCCAAAGTAGACGGCGTTAGGGCCTCAGATGCCGGTCGCCTCTTGGCGGACACTGTACGAGGCTTCATGCAACGCGCTGGTATTGAAAATGGCCTCCGCGAACTCGGGTTCTCTAGCAGCGATGTGCCAAATCTGGTTGATGGAACACTGCCCCAGGAACGGATCACTAAACTAGCACCTCGGGCACAGACCCAGGAGAACTTGGCCCAACTCTTTGAGAATTCCATGGTGGCTTATTAATTATTCAATTAATTACTTACCCACGCTTAACCTGTTCGCTTCAAAAACTTGAAAAAAAGTGTTGTAAAAGTGGCATCGATGTTTGGATGTACATTGCAGACATCGATGTTTTTTGTAAAACATTACATGTAATCTTTAGATTACATTAGAAGCTTTTGACCAAATTTGAGGTTGGGTTAAGTCAAATTATTATTGCCCTGGTAAAGGTGTCAAATTTATGTTACTGCATTAATAATTCATCTATTTTGTTCCTTTTGCAATTAAGATCTGTTTCTGGATCTGGAAGAAGTTAAAGAATGATTAAGGGATATCCTCTACCGTATTCAGCTTCTGTTAATCCTTCTTACCCAGTTCATTTAATGCGTGATCGGGGTCTTAATCCACGGCACGGTCTCCAGAAGCAAAGGTTCAGGGTCGCCTGGTCCGAAAAGGGGGGAAAGAATCTGTTCTGTTCTAATTCCTGCTTCTTGTTTGCTTCTGTTTGGCTGCTCCTTTCCTTTGGATCATCTTATCTTTTTGGCCGTTGGTCGTTGTATTCAAATTCAAGTGCGCGCGCTGGGAAATCGCTGAGAAAAAATAGGTATGGACAACAGGCAAAACGGCCCAGAAAATTCAACGCATGCAAGGTAAAAACCACCCCATTTGCTCAATATACCTTTTCGTCGCTGGAGAGAGCAGCAGTGAGACCGTCTGACCCTCAGAAATACCGCAAATACCGCATAGTTTAGGTGACGTTGGCTTTTGAATCTTGATAATTAATTTAAATATTACCACTAACCATACAATACGCCCCACTAAGAGTACTTAGTATCCCATTAGATTTTGCAAAGAAAAGATATTCAATTTTATTGAACCGCATGTTATAGTTGATATGGCTATAAAAGATTACGATCGGTTTGGTTAAAATAATTTATTGTTTTCGGAATTGGTTTCAAAGTCAAAGTAAGTCAACCGATTACTTGATTTGATTGGAAAAAAGATAATAAAAAAGGCTTAACTTAGTTTATGCTTTAATTGTTTGTTTCTCTCATCTGTTGATCAGATTTCAAATCAGACGTCATTTCATGGAGTTGTCTAACAGTTTTCTACACAGATCCGGTTTTAAACTCCCACTACGATCTTCTGGTTTCTCGTTACTATTAATTCTCCCTCCTCCTGACTCGTGTTTAGTTTTGAAACAGTTGGTTTGAATTTTGGCAAAATGGCACTAAATCTTCAAGATGTTTCCGAAATTCTCTTCTCTTACGTTCGTTCAACGGATACGGTTACAGCAGGGGTTGGGATATGGGGTACGGGCTATAGGGGAGGCTCAATCAGTGGGAAGTCCGTTGCTCTCGAAACGGCTGCTAATCGAGCTCGGTCTCCGTCCGGGAATGTTGCCCTGTTTCTGCTGTTGTCCCCCACCTGGGAGGCGGTGGCAACAGGATTAAGTACAACATACATATGCAGCTATTTCATACATTTTAGTGGGTATGGTATGGAATTGTTATTTATCGTATTATTTACTCTTTCTCATTTTTGGATTGAAGTATTTCTCAGTTTTTGCTTTCAGTGTTTCCTTTCATTTTCGCTAATACTTTTTCTCCTGACGCTGGCGGTGGGTTCCGACAACGGGTTCTGTGCCTTCGTGTGCGTGCGTGTGTGTGTGTGTTCAATCGTCCATCGGTATCGGTGTGACCATTGTTGTTTGATGCAATTTCCACTTGTTCAACTATCAATAATCTTATAAATTAGAAAAACAGCGCAACTCGACTTCGACTTCCGCCAAGTCCTGCCCGGAACTGCGATGACGATGGAGCGAAGGACTTAGACCTGATTGATGGGCGCGTACCGGTGCACCTTTGGTTGCTTCGGCTCCTTGCTGGCCGGTTTCACAATATCCTCGCTGAGCTTCTGGTAAACGAAGGAATTCTTCGAGGCCAGCAGAGCCATGCGGTAGCGCTCGCCGCGCTTACGCAGAACCATAATGACGACCTTGGCAATGGCCAACAGAATGAGGACCACACACGAGATAACGAGGATCATTGGGATCAAGAAGTTGTACCCGCCATAGTAGATGTGGCCGCGCTCAATAAAGATCTCCTCCTCATCTGAGTTGTCCAAGCCGAATTTCTCTGGAATGGATAAATAACGCACAAGTAAAGTCAGACGCAACCCCTCTTTGTGAAAGTTGAACTCACCCAGCAGGAATCTGTCACGTGTCTCCTTGGACATGTCGATCTCCTCCACCTTGAGGCCATGGTTCTTCAGCTTGGGCTTCACCTCTTTCTCCAAATACTGGTCAAAGTCATTCTCGGTCTTAGTCTTGGTCTTGATCTTATCCTTGGCATCCTCGATGCGCTCATCATCATCGTCGTCGTCGTCATCATCATCGTCGTCATCCTCTTCGCTGTCATAGTCAACCTCAGCGTCATCCTCCTTGTCCTCGCCACCGTTGTTCAGATCCTCCTCAGCAGTGTCCTCCTCTTTGGCGTTGGCCGAGCCCTTCATGATCTTCTGCATGCTGATCAGCTTGCTCTTGTCCAGCACACTCTTATCCAAGACACTGAGCAGCTTCTGCTCGTCCTCATCCAGCTTCTTCTCGCTCTCCTTCAGACGCTTCTCCAGTTTCTGCTCCGCCCTATCGGCCTTGGCCATGGCCCCTTCCTCGTGCTTGCACACCTCGTGGGCCAGTTGAGCCCAGCCTGCCTGGGCCTGCGTCTCCAGTTCGAGGATGGTGGCGTCATCCTCCAGATTGGCCAGCACCGGCATCTTCTTGGGCGTCATCTGCATCTGCAGGGTAACGTAGCTGATGAAGTCTTGGAACTCGGCGTTGCACTTGAGCGGATTGCCGTTGATGTCCAGGGAGCGCAGGTTCTTGAAACTTTTCACGTCGGCCGAGGAGATCTTCTTGATCAAGTTTCCGGAGGCGTTGAAGCTGCGCAAGCTCTCGAAGATCTTGTAGCCAACGCCCAGCTGCCTGTCCGAGAGGAGCGAGGTCAGCTCACAGTCATTCACGTCCAGGGATCGCAGCTGGTGCAAGGGCATGAATAGACGCACGGACAGCCGACTGATGGGATTTCCCGCCAGGTTTAGCTTGGTCAGCTCGTTGTTCTCCATAAAGGTGAGGTCGTCCAGCTTGGCAATCAGATTGTTGCTCAGATCCAAGTCAATCAGCTTGTTCAGCGTGGTGAAAATCTCACGCGGCAGATGGTTGATGTTGTTCCACGCCAGCTTTAGGGTGGTCAGGTGGGGCATTGTCGAGAAGGTCTTGTGTCCCAGGGGGCCTATGGCGCAATTGGAGATGTCCAGGTAGTAAACGGTGAATTCGCCGTTGTAGCTGAGGAAGCCATCGGTGGGCAGCTGGCTGAGGCGCGGATTGTCGTTAAGCCGGATCACATCCAGCTCGGAGTTCTTGAAGAAGAGCATTCCGGATATCTGGTCCAGTTCGTTGATGGACAAATCAATGTGGCGCAGACTCTTCAGAGTGAGGAACGAGTCCGGCTGGATCTTGGTGATGCCGTTGCCCTTCAGGTTCAGGTTGGTCAGTCCGGGCATCTTGTCGAACATGCTGTGGTGGACCTGGACAATCGAGTTGAAGCTCAGATCCAGCTGCTGCAGCTCCTTAATGCCGAAGTGCAGGTCGCCCGTAAAGGCGTTATACTTGAGGTGGAGTATGGAGAGTGTGGTTCCGTTGAAGATGCCTCGGGGCAGCTCACTCAGCGAGTTGTACGACAGGTCCAGCTCCTCCAGCGTCTCCACGGGCTCGAACACCTGCTCGGGTATCTTCTTGAGGTTGTTCTGGGCCAGATTGATGAACACGATGTTGGACAGCCTCGAGAAGGCCCTGGGGTTCAGCTCCATAAGGTTGTTGCGCGACAAGTCCAGCTCCTCAATGCTAGAAGACTGAAACGGAGGAGATCATTTCAGATAAAAGATCATTAAAAGCTCTCTCATAAAACCTACCTTGAGGAGGTAGTGGAGGCTGGACATGACGCTGAGGTCATTGCCGGAGATGGTGAGCATGCGCATCTTCTTGTTCTGGGCAAAGGTGTCCGGATTGATGATGGCCAGGCCCACATCCGTCATATTGACCGCGTACAGCTCCTCCAGGCCGTGGAATGCCTCCGGGTGCATGTACTCAATTGTGCAGTTGGCAATCTTAATGGAGGCAACGAACTTCAGGCCCAGACCCTGGAAGAACTTGGGGCCCAGCAGAATCGGGTACTTGGGGCCCACATTGGTCACCACCAGGTCGGTGATGTCCGAGCCGAACTTCTGGGTGCCGGGATCCAGTCTGAAAAACGCGATTCTAATCATCTGATTTCCCTTAAGGGGATGGGTCCGGACTAACCTGCTGCAGGTGGCCACCAGGTAGCTGTTGACGTTGCGGGAGCAGACGCAGTATCTGGGGCAGGGAACATTCTCACTGAACACAACCTGCTCATCGTCGGCCAGATCATCCGCTTCCCCTTGGGGCACATCGTCGTCGTCGTCATCATCATCATCGTCATCGTCGTCTCCGTCGTAGTCCTCGTAGTTGGAGTCGTTTTCGGTGTCAATGGTGTTCTCCTTGGTCTTCGACACAGCGCCCTTCACCTGCATGATGAACTTCGTTATACATACATAGAAGTTGGATCTTTAAGATTCCACTTACCTTTGACTTGGTGGAGGTGTTTTCCACGATGGGCAGCAGCTTGGGCTGGCGGGTGGTGGTGGTTCGGCTCTTCTTGGGACTTGCGCTGGTCGAGGTCTCCTTTTCCTCATCAAAGTATGTGTAGTCGTCCTCATCGTAGCCATAGTTGTCATCATACTCCTCGTTCTCATCGCTGCTGGTGGCATTCTTGCCGTTTTTGCTGGCGGTCAGCATGTTGATGACAGTTGAGGTGGCATTCTGTGCCTTGGGCAGCATCTTGTTAAAGCGCGGATCCTCGGCTAGGGCCAGGTTGTGCTTGGATGCCTCCAGCAGATCCTTGAGCGTCTCCTCGCTGATGGGCTGCTGGGTGGTCGAGGCCACAGTCTTTTTTATGGCACTCTTCGTGGTCGTGTCCACCGGCAGCTCCTTCCCCTTGGGCGTGGAGATCTTCAGGCTGTTC